AGTAAATTTGCTCGCGCTTCGCGCGATCATAAAATGATATATTTAAATTTATAAAAAGAAAAGCATGCTTATAATGTTAGGAGAAAATTATAAATAATTAACATATATTTGGGTTAATTCATAAATTTTGTTCGATTAGAACGTATACTTCTATATAACTTTTAGTTATTTATCTATTACTAATGAAGCTTATTCACGTTCTATGTATTTAAGAAAGATTCAAGGAATAGCAAAACATTGTTGCTCTTGGACCCGATTCTTTTTACTTTCATGTTTTGTGTTTTTTTGAATGTCAAGCTACTCAAGTCACACCTTTTATAATATAATATTCTAGTTTCTCAAATTATCTCAAAATTATCTTGTAATATGACATAGCTAAATAACAGTTGTTGCTTTTATTTTATTACTATTCTTATTACTTTTGAGTTCGTCACTTTACTCCCCTTGACTTGGGATATATGCAAATATTTTCTTTTGCCAAATGCACATATAAGTTAAATGATGAATATTTACTTATTCATATCTTGATGCATATAAACTGTATTAGTTCTTTCTCTTCCTCCTCTTGTTCCTTTTCCATTGTCTTTTTGTTCACCTTTTTTTGGTCCTGATGATCTCAATTACCGTAAAAAATACAAGTCGTATATATAGGTGCTATTTTATTTTCTTTTTGTTGTGACAGTCAATGAACTTTGACACAATGCAAAAAGAAGAATAATACTATCACAATCAATTTAAGGACAACGAAACATACAAGGAATATTAAAACAACAAATAACAGTTAAAGAATATGTACATATTGTATGTAGATGTTTCATATATTCCTAAGACATTTTAGATTCTTCTGCAATATAAATGAATTATCTTTTGAAGCAGAGAACAGTATTTGGCAATGTACTCCCAAAATGAGAAGCAACCTGTGATCTCAATTCAAGAGCACTTAAGCTGTAAGTAATCCAGTAGGTCAGGCTTCATATTTCAATCTTACAACCCCTAATGAAGCAGTGGCATCCAACAGGTAATGCAACTCACCCTATTATTGAAAACTATAAGATATAAACCCATAATGTTCATCTAATAAGTATCATAATTTACTGTATCAAAGTACAGATCAACTGAAAATGTGCAGATTAATAATTTCTTTTTTATATTAATCAATCTTCTCTTTTTTCCATTGCTCTACTTGCCTTTATATCTCTTCATCAATAGTATTAAGTACTTGTCCTGAGCTAATAGTCATACTCGTTATATTTGAAAATAAGTCAAGAGGCATTAAAAATATATTGACTTGCTTTGGCTTCTAGCAAATAGTAATCAGGTTCACAATAATCTCTAATTACATAGGAGTNCAAATAGTAATCAGGTTCATAATAATCTCTAATTACATAGGAGTATACAGAAGAAAAGTAAAATATAACANGAAATATAACAGTTAAGTAAAGGATACAAACAATAAGCATTGAACAAAGAAAATTTACATTTTTATTGTCACAAGCAATCATATCTCCAATAGATACCTGAAGGATAAATTAGCAACTTCACAAGGGAGCAAGAGCAAGACAAGTTATTGCAATGATATGATGATCTATAATCAAGCATCAATGGTTTAGAACATAAAAGTAAAGTAAGATATCAATATTTTAAGTCATTAATAGTCATATCATTTAAGGAGTATTATATAAATTGAGAACACATCGATCATATAGCCGGCAGAAGGATACATAACAAAAGCCAACAAAATCACTTTAACAGTATTGATTTAATGAAAAGACATGTGCGAAAGAAGAGAAGACAATAAATTATGTTCTGTTTTCTGTAAAAGCTTTTGTTCAACGCAAAAAAGAGACAAAAAAATATAACATTACTCCACTAAAATCCAAAGACGGTTAAAACTCATGGACCACTCATTATACTGAGAACTTGTAAAATAATAGAAAGAAAATTTGAATTTATCAATCACGCTTTCTTTTTTCAGTATGCTCTTGGGCAAAAGATATTTATGCATATACGGAATATAGCTTTATCTTTGATAATGCTGCATCAATAGTCCCAGATATGTCCCTACTACTACTACTACTATCAAAATCAACTTAAATCACCTTACAGGAAATAGATCAAACTCTATAATTGACATCCATAATTTATAATTTTATACTCACCTGGGCATATAGACATTAGAAGTAAGATTGGATCTTCCACCGCACCATATTTCCGAACCCAATTGAAGTAAGTTGTTGATGTTTTACATATATTGACTAATTTCTATCAAAGAGCTGAAGACAAAATAGTAAATTGAAACTCAAAATAAACACAAGAAGTGAAGAACAGAAGGATGGTAAACATTTGCCTGTTGTCGTAGGTCGTAGGAATGTATTCAATCTGAAATCACCCTAATCTGCCTTTGAATTTTGATAACCAAATCTTCCATTATCCTGCCGCAAACGATTCGCCCTATGAGGCTGAAATCTTCAACTAACAAAAAAAAAAAATCAACTATTCGTGGTAATTTAGAATAGAGGAGAAGGCTCTGAAAGGGCGTTGTATAGAAGGGCGAAAGGCATCTGCGACAGGAGCGAGAGAGTTGAATAGCAAAGGCGTTGAAAGCAATTTCAGTTACAAAAAGGATTGAAGAGAAGAACGCGACGTTTGAGTTTTTTCTTTTTTCATAAAAGAACATAAATAGGAGAAAATAGGGGAAAACGTAAATAAACAGGGAAAAGAAAAAATATCAATCCTCTTCTCTTCTGTGGAAGATCCCACGGCAGCTATACTATTCCCTCAATTATATAGATACTAGGTAATTTGCCCGCGCTTTCCGCGTTCATGAATGACGTCATTAATTCTCACTCTTTTCACTACATTATCATACAATCTAATCAAAATATAGAGACTCGTGTCAAACATTGGACATGTAAAAATTAATTTGAATATAAGTACTTTTAGAAGTAGGACCACACATGAAAACAAACTAAAAGATAAGAATTGTGTTAGAACTTGAGCAATTAATCAATGAACCTATTGGATAATTGTATACCAATTATACTTTCTGTGAATTCTTCCAATTCATTACAGTAAATACAAAAAAATTTAGCACAACAATAGAGCAATTTCTATATCAACACAATATCTATTGTCTACATACTGAAAAGCACAAAGGGACGCAATTATTTTGTTTAACGTTACACAACATTAAAAGTTCCAAAACCAACACATAAACACTCTACTTTTTGCTTCTTCCTTTTTTTGTGTCTTGATCGCTAACTTCATCGTATTAGGTTCCTTCCCTTCCTAATCTTTCTTGATGAAGTTTTTTTCTTCCTATAGTTAACACCATCATTGACATGTAGATCTTCCTGAGAGTGTCTTCAAAGTTGTCCAAAGAGACATTAGTAGGTTCCTAAATAGTTTCTAGAAGAATAATATTATTTACATATCTTTTCAATATGTTAATATTGTCAGTAGTAGGAAGTTTGCTAAATAAAACACTATAGAAAATTACCTTCCCTTCAATAAGTCCTTCTGTTTCAATGTTATCCTGCACTTTGCTTTTCCCCTGTAGAAGCAATAAAAACAAAGCATATTTACAGTGTATACGTAAATCTGGATTACCATTTGAAACAATCTATATCACAATACCTTTTGTTCTTTCCTTTTTCTATATTGCAATTCCAGATTTCTCATCTGGAATCAACAAATTTGATACCGTATAATTTTCAAGCCCCTCTTTAAGATTAAAATTGTTTAATCTTAGCTTGAAAATAAATTCTTTGTCGCAAAGGCTTTGAATTTGTGGCGGTACATTATTGCTATCCGACGACAACCTATTGAATAACTTGTGAGCGGATGTATCAATAAACTTCTCCACAACAACATTAAATAAAATCACAGTAGTCTCCCCAGCTTTGTCTCTTATATTTACGTGTATTTAGTACCTATAGTTGTACAATCAGTTAGAATAAATGAGAATATAAATCATTACATTATTACTTGCTTCCTTACTTCACCAAAGGAAACTTGCATTCTTTAGCACAAATGTGGCATGTATAAACATCGCTTGCGGATACAATCTTCTTGGAACAGGAGTTGCATGAAATATCTACCAATCAAAATAGTTGTCCATTTCGGTAATGTTGCCCCTCACTGTAACAATATATTTCTAACATTAAAAAACTCTATTTAGTAGAAGCATCTTGAAGAATTGTGTTTTTAAAAGCGAAGAAGCAGAAATAGAAAAATACTAACATGTATTTTCGGCATTCCGGTCAGACTCCAACAACTCAGTAATGTTCATCATGTTCAGAAATATCTCTTCCTCAATGGGAATGCTATTGACATTGGAGCTGCCGATAGTTTGTACCCCAAAAAACATGGTACTAAACTTTTGAATCAAAGTTGTTATGTAATCTATTTCAAGATTTACATATATTTTGCTTGCAAATGTGGATAGGGAAAGTAACCTCACATGTTAACAGTGAATGCAATTTAAAAATCAACTTTAATATATCTTCAGAATATCAGTAGTAAATTACATACCAATAAACATTAAACATAAAATAATTACCACGGAATTATTTTACAGTTATAGAAGTTACTATCATAATGTACGGATCAGAGTCGTTGTATAACATGGTCCTTATTGATGAAGAGGTAATACATGTGTCTTGATCTTTTTCAATATGCAATTTGTAATTATTAATTTTGAAAACACTTACTGTTTTTCCTCTACCAGAAAACTTTAATACATGCTACAATAATAAAGAATTTAGTTAATAAGTACAAGAATTTGCGGGTGAAGATTCAGCCTATGTTATTAAGAACTTCAAAGTTATTGAGACTGCTGGTGAATTTAGACCAATGACAAGTACTTTTAAAATTTCTTTCTTTCTTCCTGACAACTGCGCTCCAGAAACAACGAGAAGATATTAACAATACTCCTATAAACTAATTGTATAGACTATACCTATACAATTAGATTAGGGTTCTTACAAGTTTGTAAGAGTCAAATATATAAGAATAAGGCATAAATGATAAATATTGTTTCGTAAAGGTTACAGACCGGCTATTATGAAGTGAATACCATTTTTTTCTGAAGTCGTGGGCTAGGATGATTTTCTTCAGTGGCGTCGAAGTTAGCATATATATGGTGTGGGAAAATATAGAGAGTAGCAGTGTGAGCAAACTATTTTTTTTTTCCAGTTTCCCAAATTAGTGAATAGCTCAGAGAAGGTTAGATATAGGAATTAACAAAGTGAGAGTTATGGGGGAAATTTAGCAGGGAAAATGGAGATAGGTATGAGGAAGAGAGAGTAAAGTAGGTTTTTGTGATGTAAAGAAGCGGTGCGGGAAAAAGCAGTTGGGTGTGTGAAGCGTTTCGATGGTGTAGTTTCAGGTTCAAATTGTAAAAAGCCTAGAGCCTAGAAAAATCAAATGCGGCTAAATGAGAAGGCCACGTAACCGACGTAAGGCCCTTATATATATATATTATATTATGGATATTCATTTAGTACTCCATTGTAAATAAGCTTTCTCAAGAAGCTTATCCATATAAGACTCCGCCGTAAATATGTTTATCTATTTAGT